AGTTTAGCCCACCTAACTTAAAGCAAATGAGCTGAACTAAATATTGTTAGGACAATAATCACTGTACAATCTTTTATAGTTGATATACAGACAGATGCCTGCAGAGGCTGATTCTGTTAAATACCCGATTTTGGATAATACTAACCCACAGCTACCCAGCTACTCATACCCTCCAAAGCAGAAAGGAACATGTTCAGTCTTTTAATGATGGCTGTAGTTAGATTATACAGCCATATGCTCATATTGTCATTAGCTTTATTCCTTTCTCCCGTCACCTATATAGTTCATTTGCTGCTTCTTTCTGAGTGAGTTATAAACCTTAACATCCTACCTTAACCACTTTCTTCAACACCACTCATTACAATCTTAATAGGACCCTGGGTGGTAAAAAAGTAAAAATAATGCTGGCTGATACTTATTTAGAACAAAATTCAGCACATCCAGCTATAATTCTACAAGTTCACTGGCACCAAACATCCATCAGATAGATCCCAGTCCTTGAGACTACTGAGAGCCTAACAAAGAAGTGCTAGCAGTCATTTTACAGCTCTTCTTGGTCTGTCCTATACTCAGCAAAGTCCTGATAATACATTAGATGTGGATAAATATGCCTCTAAAAATTTATAGCACCATAATAATTTTGACTTTGCAAAAGAACAAAAGCATCATTTTTAAAATCTTGATAGAGACACCAACAGTAAAGTTTACATGAATGTTTTCTTGCCAGGAGGTTCACTATTTTAAGCAATGGATAAAAACTGCCAAGTTTAAAAGACACGAGTTATGCAGGGAAGAAAAGGATAACAAAGGAGAACACTTTAAAACATGCATGAGCAGAAAAAAAACCCAAACAATTGTTAGCATTTACTGGAGGAAGACTTGCATATATAGAAAAAAAACCTTGCATGTGTGCCATCTGTGGATCTTGCTAAATTGTGAAAAACACCAAACACGAGTGAAATACCAGACCAAAAATGGTAACTTCCTAGTAAAGAAATTTAAAGAATAAGATTACCTTGTTCCAATCTGAAGCACAGGGAACGTTTTGCAGCCTCTATCTCAGGACTTGGATGATCCAGAACACGCCTGCACCACTGCAGGGGACTCAGTGATTTCTCTTGAGGAGTGAGAGTCTTGGTAGGCAAGACATACAACCTTAACCAAAATACACATAAGTATCAGGAAGACACACAATACTTCAAAGTTTACTTTTGTATTCCCACTTTCCTGCCTGTTAACAATGTGTAACAGTGCAGAGACCCGCAATATGATATCCAATAACAAAAGATTTCCAAAGTAGAAGAGTTTTCACTAGTTTGATTCCTTCCCCTCTGAAAAAGTGACGGCAAAATATGAACTCTACAGGTCTGGCACGTCAAAACAAAGTTCAAGTAGATTTCTCATAAAAATCTTCCATCTCATCTTTCTGAAAATCTAAACTTGTTTTCATTGTCTGAATTTCAGCACTGCCCAAAGTTCCAATGCACTAGGTTGTGTTCATACACCAAAGGAGCTGTCAGTTTTCCCTTGCAGATTTAACTTTACTGGAGATCAGATAATTTCAGTATTGGATTTCGCATTTATATCCCAATTTCACTGTTAACTATTCCCCTCTTTTACATATAACAATTGAATCAACTTGTCAGAGTGTTGCTGATATTCACACACAGTATCTTGTCTCAGATGAATCAAATGTTGTGCAAATCAAGCTTTTAAAGATTATAAAACATTTGCTGAGAAACAATGAAATCCAATTTTGATATTCAATTCCAGCAGGAAAATAAAAGTAAGGGAAAAAAGCTAGAGTATACGTGCTATTCTCAGACAACAGTAGGCGGCTAAGCAGATGCTCCAGCACATTAGGAAGCCAGGTATCAAATCAGGGAAATTCTTGAAGCTGGGCTCTGCACTGCCGCTGTCTTTGTAGATTAGTGGGCACAAGCAGATGCTGGTTCACCTGGGGGAGAGCAAGTCTCCCAGGAAGGAAACTATTCTTGGCTGCTGGAGACTGCTGGCAGCTCCCTGGCCTGACCACTTCGGATTACATCCATGAAGCTTCAGTGAGAGGAAGTTTTTTCAGGTACCAGGAAAACACAGGCTGCAAAGGAATCTGGCCTGCACACAGTGGAGCAAAAGGCAACACCTAAAAAACCCCAAGGGATTAGCTCCTCAGAGGAACACTAACAGGTAGCAGCCTTTCACTTTCAGGGTTTTGGCTCAACAGCTAGGCAAATCCCCGGAGAGCAACTGCTCTCCACTGTCTGATCAATGGGTTGTTTTTTCTTTTTTATCCCTTTGAAGTCAATCAGCACTCTCTATCCAGCACACAAGGAATAAACATCCTTGCTGTGATTGCTATCTCTCTCAGAAATCCCAGCAGAGATCAACTATTGAATTTCTCCAAGGAGAAGACTCATTTCCCTCGACTTCCAGCAGAGCCTGGCTGCGTATTTAAAAAAAAAAAATATACTGAGAAAAAAGGAAACGAAAGAAAAAAAAAAGGCAAACCAGAAAAGCTTTCATCTTCCCTGTTAACCTGCAAAAGTATTTCAAAAGCTGAACAACTGAGTTCGTGTGAAAAGCCGAACAGCAAAAATAGGTTGGATTTATCTGGAACGATGCTAATTCTACGGGGTTTTGTAACTGCACAGATATGCAAGGACTAAAATTACTGATCAACAACTAGGATTGACTCATCGGCCTCTGGCTTTCCAGATGCAGTTTGCTTTAAAGACTGACACTACAAACAAGCTCCAAGCAGCTAGCATCACACCGCTGACCTTTCATGGACAATGACAGAGATTTAGCCTTGAAATGAAAACGTTCAACAGCTAAAACAACTCACTCTTGGTGGAATAAACTGATTAAAAAAACCCTGCCATTAAATTCTTCTTGGGGACACACAGTTGTGTGACATGAGGGTAAGTTTTGCCCGACCCCACCCCCACCCCTCAAGCATTTAGGATTGCTTCCAGAGGTTGAAAGGAATAGGAAATTGATGGAAATTATAGGAAATTGTTGGGAAAATAGGATATTGTACTAAGGCACACAAAATAACGACTTTCACCAGCCTGAAATGTAAACAGGGAAAACATTTTGTTTAACAGGACAGGACCAAACAAGTTTGATATTTCTTAATGCGAAGGAAAGTTATGGGTTAGGGCTGATGTAAAATTTGGTTCGAGTCTGGATTTACAACCCCGGAACAGCCCTGTGCAGACTATGCACAATGAAAGAACAATGGCACAAATTTCCATACTTGTTGATGACTCTCAAAAGCAATTTTCCAAAGCTGCAGCATGGTATTATTTGTATTGTGAAGTACAGACCACGAGCATTCAAGAAATATTTATGCTATTTAGCTTAATTTTTAAATCCTTTCTCTTCTACTGAAAATAAGGATGCCAAATGCATCTCAGAAGCGTTACACTGTATTTTATTTCCAGATGACATAAATTTCAGCTTGATTTGAAAACTAACCACATGACCTGCCTTAAAGCTTTGACAGATCCTTAAAACAGTTCTTTAACTATAGCTTATCCATAATTTATAACTGACACTTTAGAACAACTGAGCACCAATTATGTTTAACATGGTTACGCAGCCAACGATTTCCACAGCATTCCAGCAGTGTCCCTACAATGTTTGTCCATGTTGCTGACAAGTCTCGAGGCACCAGGTTTATTTTGTTCTCCAGTCTATAACTTCCCCCTCTATATAGTTTTCAAGAGAGCCCAATCATTCCTCTAGGTCGATTTTATTTTCCGTTTTATTCATTTGCCATTCATTTCTGCTTAATTCAATTTCCTAGCACCCAGCCGAGCCTTTTGGAGCTACATGGGCGTCTGAGATACACAACCAACCATTAGATCAATGTCTAAAAGACAAAAGCCCTCCCAAATCCCTGAAGACAGGAGACAACTGAGCAGATTTTAGGATGGGGAGGCAGCCACTGCTCTGATAAAGGCTTTCCCAGAATAATTCCTGTATTTTTAATTCCTTGTGTAAACAGGAGGCTGAAACTAGGCTGAGATCTGAAATTATAGAAAAGCGATCTTCCTCGAAGTGGGGAACAAGCACAGATCCCCTACCGAGAGCGAGACCGGGCGGCAAACGCCCAACCTAAACCTCATCACGGACACGGGGCCCTCCCGCCAGGGGGGTACCGCACTGATGACATGTTTTAGGGGGGAAAAAGACAGATTTAAGTTTAAGCAGAAGGAGATCGGGTGGATTATCTGGGGGCTAACGCTAAGCGGAGCCTGGGGAGCGCCCGCGGGGACTCCGGCCGGGGTCCGAGGTGCGCAGGCGGGGCGGGGCGCGCCGCATGTACCATGTATCCTCGTCCTGTCCGCAGCAGCTGTCCTCCAGCTCCAGCACCGCCACCTCGTCCAGCACCGTGGTGGCGGCCACCGCCGCCGACCCCGAACCACCGCCAGTGTCCTGTCCCCCGCCGCCGGCAGCGGGCAGGCCGAGCGTGGGCTTGAAATAGGCGAGCGGCTCCGGCGGGCCCAGCACGGCGGCGCACAGCAGGGTGGGCACCGGCCCGGGCAGGCACGGCGCAGCCCCGCCGCCCGCCGCCGAGGGAGGACTGGCAGGGCGCAGCCCGCCGGGGGCCCGCAGCAGGTGCGGGCTAGGCGGGCCGGTGGCGACCGCGACTGCGGCGGCGGCGGCAGCGCGGCTGCGGAGCTGCTCGTTTTGCTTCTCCAGCTTCCGCACCAGCTCCTGCAGCTTCTTCACCTCCAGCTCGGCGCTGACGGCGGATCCCGCGCCGCTCCCTTTCACCTCCGCCATCATCGCCGGCTTCAGCAAGGCAGCCTCCATCCTGCCGCCGGCACCACCGCTACCGGCACCTGCTCCGCCGCGCCGCCGGAGGGCAGCTCCCGGCCCCTGCGGGCGGCGGGAGCGCCGGGAGTCGCCGCGCTGGGGGCCCTGCCCGGCGCTGTGCTGCCCTACCCGACCCGACCCACTCCGCTCCGCTGCAGCTCCTGCGCCTGCCGTCAGTGGCGGCGAGGACGCGGGTGGGATCCCCTCATCCCCTCCCACTCTGGCAGCCCGAGCGCCGCGCACACGCACGCGGCGGGAACAAAGAGGCGCCCGGCTCCCTCGCCATCGGCCCGGGGGAAGGACGGCGGGGCCGCCTCCCTAGGGAGCTCCGCGGGCACCCCCGGGACCGGCTCAACCCCCGTCATTAAACAAAGGTGCCGTCCCCGGACCCCGCCTGCGCGCTGGAGCTGGCCCAGGGCGCTGCTCCTCCCGTGAGCCGCGTAATTAGAGCCTGGTGGTGCCAGGGTTGTGATTATGCAGATTGGAAGTGTGATGGGAATGGGAATCACAAATAGAGGCTTTGTTGGGCTTGAAAGGAACGAATTCGGCCAAAAGCAGACGTTCAGGGGCTTGAAACGTACTGATTCTAGGAGTTTTGATTCTTAGCGGGGAAAGCAATGTATTTTTGAAGCTGGTGAAGCCAGGACTGAGCCAAGCACAGCAGAAAACTACGCGATTATTTATGTGTATGAGGAATTTTTTTACAAGGACGTGTAGTGATGGGACAGGGGGGCATGGCTTTAAACTGGAAGAGGGGAAATTTAGATTAGGTGTTAGGAAGAAATTCTTCACTGTAATGGTGTCAAAACACTGGAACAGGTTGCCCAGAGAAGTTGTGGATGCCCCATACCTGCTGGTGTTCAAGGTCAGGGGCAACCTGGTCTAGTGAAAGGTGTTCCTTCCTGCCCATGGGAGGGGGATTGGAACTAGATGATCTTCTTCTGACACAAACCATTCTGATTCCATGACCTGTGAGATGCCCTCATATTGAAATTTGTAACATAGTCCAGGTACACAGATGGGTTTGCCATGTTCCAAGTCTTTGGGAGGGAGAAGAATGACCTTCCCTCATGCTAGTGTTTTTACACTGTCCTTCATTTCTCAGTATTCAGAAGCCATTTTTTATGTCCCTTCCTCCCACCCAGCAGGTGAGCAAAGATTCAGTGTTGCCCAAGGCAGTTCAGCCATCACACAACCCTTGCTGGGTTCATTTCCCCTAGCTACAGCTACAGGCCACAACCTCTTTAAGTTACTGTCTTGAAGCCTCCTGAAGCTCTGATATAAAATAGGGAACAAATCTCCATGAGGTGTGTAAGCTGCTCAGCCAACCACCACCCACTAATAATAGCTATCAGTTTGTTGCTGCCCAGTTCACGAGCATCAGCTTTAGGTAGAGTAGTAGAAACAACAGCCACCACTGCCTTCACTGTGCTTCATCACTGTCTCAGGTTTCTGGTGTAAGGAGGAACAAACACGAATTCTCTCTTTGGAGCATAAATCAACTTTGAAGTCATCCAGCTTGTCACAGTTTTCTGTCTTGTTTATAGTTTGGAACCTTTCTTCTGCACATGCACAGGACAATGACACTGTTGTTTGTCAGTCTTTTAAGTGTTCTCACAGTGCAAATAATAATAACTGGTACTACAGGAATGACTGGAAAGGAAGATTGAGCAGGGCACAGAGTGCTGACTTCCAGATAATGCAACTTCTGTCACTGAAGAGATTAAGTACATCCAGCAGTGTACTACAGTACCAACCAAATAGTGCTTAATCCAGAGGTTTTGTTGCATCTCCTCTGTCTGTTTGGAAGAAAGGAATAGAAAAATGTTGAGAATATAAAAACCGTCTGGCCCCACATGCTGGATTTGGCTGGGTTAGAGTTAATTTTCTTCATAGTAGCCGGTATGTAACTATTGTGCGTTAGTGCTGGAAACCTGATAACACAGTAATGTTATAGTTACTGCTGAGCAGTGCTTACACAGAGTCAAGGTGTTTTCTGCTCCTCACCCCACCCCACCAGAGAGTAGGGTAGGGGTGCACAAGAAGTTGGGAGGGGACACAGCCAGGACAGCTGACCCCAACTGACCAACAGGATATTCCATACCATATAGTGTTATGCTCAGCATGTAAAGCTGGGGGAAGAAGGATGTGAGGGACGTTTGGAGCAATGGCGTTTGTCTTCCCAAGCAACCATTATGCATGATGGACCCCTGCTTTCCTGGAGATGGCTGAACACCTGCCTGCCCATGGGAAGTGGTTCTTTGTTTTGCTGTGGTGGCGTGTATGGTGTTTGTTTTCCCCATTAAACTGACTTTATCTCAATCCACAGGTTTTCATACTTTTCTGATTCTCTCCCCCATTCCAATATATGAGCGAGCAGCTCTGTGGGCTTAGTTGCCAGATGGGGTTAAACCACGATACCTCAATTCTACTGTGTGTCATCAGAGTGAGTAACATAATCTGTTTTCACTACTACAGATAGTTGTAATCTTTATTCCCATAAGTGAAAGTAAGAATTGAGTTTGTACATCTTTAGCCCCAGGCAAAAGTGGGCTGTTATCACTAATAGTGATACTCGCCTTAATTCTTAGAAATGCATAAACTAATCCAGTAATATTGTAAAGGGATACAAATTATAAGCAGCACATGTAATAATAAGTTTATTAGACATCAGTAATATACAATGAAAAAAAAAAGCCAAGAAGAAGTTTATGACAATATCAGTGCTGAATAATGCAAGGAGGCGGAGGAAATACTCAAATTCAAAATGGAGGAATTACTTTTTTCTCTTTGAACCAGGCAAGCAGAGTTATTTTGTGGGCCAACCAAAAAAAAAAAAAAAAAACAAAAAAAAACCCCAAGCAAACCAAGAAATGGGTATCATCTGATTTTTTTCAATTGCCAGAACGGTGTGGTCAGGATATTGCATGGTTAAAAAAAAACTCGTGCAACTAGTGCAGACACCAGTTTGAAGAAACACAAATTATTCTCCTCCCAGTGCTGACATTATTAACGAATTGTTAATGAGCTCCATTCAGTATCCCAACACTACCTGATGAGTTGGATCAACCCAGAACTTCATAAGCTCTTTACAAACCACAGCAAAGGCTTGATGGTTCAATTTATTTTTTTAAGGCATTGATAAAATCTGTTTAACACCAACCCCAAACATCCTAATGTGCCCATGAAACCTGTTATTCCTGGACCGGAGAAATTAGTAGATCTTTACTGGTTTAAGCCATATACAGGATGCTACTTACATGATATGTTATAGTAGAAATTTCTGAATCAGTATAGTTACTAATAGGCTCCCAATGCAGAGAACAAAGAAGCAGGAAGTCTACAAATCCCATCTGCTCTTCTCTGATAATAAGCCTGTTGCTTTATGCTGCAATAGCTGCAGGCTGGACCTGCCTTTCAAGCAAGCCAGTAAAGAATTAATTGCAATAATCCAGTCTGGGCTGTACAAAAGATGGGTTACAATAAGGTCAGAGCATGGACGGTAAACTCAAGTCTGGTGAGATTATTTTAAAGCACAGTGCCAGTCTGAAAAATGACTGTGAATGTAGTTTTATAAAAATAGAGCCACTACCGTGCCAGCAGAAGTTCATCTAATACAGTATGCTATCTTTAACAAAGGCTGATAGTAGCTTCATAAGGAAAATATATGAGAAACAAGAAAAATATTGGGGATTTTCTCCAGCTTTCTGAAGTTCACGAACTGGGACATCTGGACCATTTATTTTTGATAGCCACCAATGTGTAATAATACTGCGTTTGCTGAGCCCCATTTTTAACCCATTTAAACATTGGGACTCTACAAAACCCTGTGGCAATTAGTGCTGCGATTTAATTATGTATTGTAAGAAAAACTGCTTCCTATTATCTATTTTAAATCTGCTGCCTAGTAATTTAATTGGGTGTCCCTTCATTCTGGTTTTCTGGGAAAGACAGAATGATTAATCATTCTCTATTCAGCTTCTCTTTGTCATTCATGACTATATAAAACTCTGTTACTTCTCTTCCAGGCTGACAAGCCCTAATTCATATAACCTTGCCCCCAAGGAAGTTGGGCTGAACCTCCCATTGTTTCCTATCTCCCTCCATAATGAAACCTGAATTTTCTGACTCATTGTTTCCTTTCTGTTAATACTCCATATTGTCATAACTTAGGGAAAGACTGTGTCAAAAAATTCTTGTAAATCCAAATATACTCAGATAAAGAAAACAGCGTAACCGGAATCATACTGGTTCCTTCCGAAACATTCATATATTCATGAGCATACCTTGCTTTAAAAAAGCTGTGTGGACTGTCCTCCAACATATGCTACCTATCCAGATGCCTCTGTATTCTGTTATGTATTATAATTTGTACAAATTGGCCTGATTGATAGAAAATCAGACTAACTGAAACGTAGCTCCCCAGAGCAGCTTTCATGTTTTTCAAAACTGATGTCCCAGCTGATGCTTCCAGTTTGTTTGGCGCCAAGCCTGCTTTGAACGATAGGGTAGATTTCTGTGAGAAGTTCAACAATGTCACATGTGAGCTGCTGTAGGGTTTTTGCATAGATACTACCAGGTCCTAGCAATTTGTTTTTCCTAAATTTATAAATTTGCTCTGAAATATTTGAGCAATTAAACATTTTCCTGGAGTTACAGCAAGGATTTTTCATTCTCCATGTCTCTTGCAAACATTTTGACTTCCTAGCTGTTGCTAATTTCCTGTTAATTGACTTTTTCTTTTTCATATAGTTTCTTGTTTTAAACTACCATTATTCCTTCCGGCTTTTTCCTTATTGAATTAATATTAAATTGAAGTACATTGTAATCACCATTAGGATGGATTTTTCTATAAGATCGAATCCAAAATTGTGTCATTTTCAGTAAGTCCCAGTTGCTCCAGAAAATCAGCATTTATGGTATCCAAAGATATTGCCCATGCGTTAAGCTTAGGGTCTGCTAGTTTGTAGATCAATCTAGGCAGAACTATCCTTGGCAGCTCTAATCCGATGCATTTTTATTTTATTTTGACTCATCAATTCTGTATCAAATAACTCTGGCTTTCAAATGCATTAATCGCTTCCCTTCCTTATAGACAGAAAGCATCAACCTGAGTCTTACAAATCAGGATGGCCTGTTTCATTCTAGTGAGACTTCATCGAGAGCAAAGACTAATTATGATTTAAAAGAAGCTTAAGCATTTGCATTGCCTCCAGTATACTCCAGTATAGGAGTATATTGGAGAGTATAATTTGGTTCACAGAAGCTTACTGCTGATGAATAAGAAGGAGAAGGTGGAGGGGGAGATGTGAAGTTCAAGGTTGTTAATAAATGAGCTGTTAATGTCAGAGTAAAGTTTTTGAAATAGCAGCTTCTCTCCAGGAGGCTAAAAATCCATGGCACACATTTTGCCAGGAATCCAGATTTCAGCTTGATTTGTCTCCAGGGAACAGTGGCAGTTGATACAGGAAAAATGCCTTATTTCATGCCGACATGATTATACTGGAGAGTTCAACAAATTCTGATGTTTTTCTTTCCGTTTTGTTTTTTTTTTCCATCTTCTATCTGCATGTGCTTGGAGAAGCAGGTTCAGGAAATTCAGCAGCTTTGCAACATAGTGGGAAAAAATTGCTATTGTTACTATCCAAATTACTATCCATTTGCAACTCCATCGTACAGATAACTAAGTGATTTTTATTGTTTGCAAAATTTTAGTAAGTACAGGCCAAGGCTGAATTCCGTATGGTAATGTAAAATGGTTTAGAAGTTACCATGTAAAAAAAATTAATAGCCAGATTCTTAGCATTGGTTATGTGAGATATTTAGTGAAAAAATAAATA